CCTTCCTTCACATCTATTTCGTTCTTCCCCTCCCCTCCCTCCCCTCCCCTCCCCTCCCCTCCCCTCCCCTCCCCCTTCCTCCCTCCCCTCCCCTCCCCCTCCCTCCCCTCCCTCCCTCCCTCCCTCCCTCCCCTCCCCTTCCTTCCTTCCTTCCTTCCTTCCTTCTGTCCTTCCTTCCTTCCTTCCTTCCTTCCTTCCTTCCTTCCTTCCTTCCTTCCTTCCTTCCCAGCCGGACAAAAGAGGCGTCTGTCCTGTCCTAAATCCCTCTATCTATCCGCTGGGAAGGACCACAACCGTGGAGAGGCAGAGTGACTGCGGATATTGGGCCATCCACTCCTGGAGAAGCCGACCCCGGCCCTGAAGTCCTTTGTTTCTGCCGCCGAGTCAGCCCGGCCGCCACAGGGCTTGCCTTTCGCCGGCTGTGCTCTTTTCCCCCTTGGCAGAAAATTCGCCTGGATTTATTTAAGCCTAAGCGCCGGCTTCTCTTCGCTTTCCCTGCTTTTTTGGAAAAGACGTCCCGGGAAACAAAGCAGACACGTGGCGCGGTGGGTGGTCGGCGTTTCTTTGCTGCCACCGGCGCGGAGCTGCACAGCCCGAGACGCCGCCGTCTGCACCTCCCTTTCCCCCCGCGTCTGGACCATTTCTGGAGCGGGTTGACATCGTTCCGGCTCCTTCTTTCCCTTGAACACCAGAGACAGCAAATTGCATGTCGAATAATGCTGAAAATCTCCCAAAGGAACTGTAAAGGTTTAACAGGAAAATAAATACAAAAAAACCCGAAGTAAGGTTATAGAAAGTGCGAGTGTGGCGTGATGTATTGTCGAAGGCTTTCACTGGTTTGCTGTAAGTTTTCCGGGCTGTCTGGCCATTTTCCAGAAGCATTCTCTCCTGACGTTTCGCCTGCATCTATGGCAGGCATCCTCAGAGGTTGTGAGGTCTGTTGGAAACTAGGCAAGTGAAGGTTTACATATCTGTGGAATGTCTAGGGTGAGAGAAAGAACTCTCGTTTGCTTGTGAATGTTGCAACTGGCCACCTTGATTAGTACTGAATGGCCTTGCAGCTTCGATGGCTGACTGCTTACTTCCTGGGGGAATCCTTTGTTGGGAGGTAATTCGCTGGCCCTAATTGTTTATTGTCTGGAATTCCCCTGCTTTTTTAGTGTTGTTCTTTACTGCCCCGAATTTAGAGTTTTTTTTAAATACTGGTAGCCAGATTTTGGCCATTTTCTTGATTTCCTCCTTTCTGTTGAAATTGTCCACATGCTTGTGGATTTCAATGGCTTCAGTGGGATGATGAATTGGACGCTTGGATTTGAATAGTTTCTGGACCATGGAATTCATGCAAGTCATACACTCTCAGCCCTAAAATAGGGGCAAATCTACACAAAACACATATCCCAGGGTGGGTCCCGAGTGGCTAATACTAGATTAGATTCAGGATGGTTTCCAGTAGTTCCCAAACTCTAGTTCTTTTAGGGTTGCTTTATTTCTTTCTTTCTTGAACATTTGAAGCTGCCTTGGCCAATGATCGGGGATTCTGGGAGCTGAAATTCAGATATCCAGAGGACCAAAGTATGGGAAAAGGTGCTTTAAGACCTTCTCCATTCTGGCTGCTGGGGAGGCAAAGAGGAGGCTCCCTCTCCTAATCAGCCCAACTGTTTACATGAGCCCAAAGTCATGACTTGATTAACTTGCCCTAAATATACTAGAAGACAATGGCAACCCTTTTGGGAAAAAATCTGGACAAGAAAACCCCAAGAAAAGGTCAAAACAAGACCTCAGCAACAGCAAAGTTTAAAGACTGACACTTTACTGATAGTATATAATTGAGAGGGAGAGGTATGCCTGTTCATTATGTGGAGAACTGTCACCTCCTAATAATGATAATGGAAGGCCCTCCTAGAAATATATTTGTGCAGCATGTGTAGGTAAGACTTTTCAAGAGATCTCCCCAATGCCCGCCAGCCCAGGGCCCAATGTGTGGTGAGGCAGACAACAATTGGTTCACAACTTTTTCATAGGATTTCAACTGTTGGACTGGAGGGGAAAGGAGGTCTACTCCATCCTCTTGGAAAAGCCTTCCTCCAGCAAGGTTTTGAGACAGTCTCATAGAGGCCTGCCTGAGCTGTTAAAGAAGGAACACTTTGAGGAGATTGTCTACAAGGACTTAACTTGGGTGTGTTTGTTTGTGTGTGAATATTTGTAATACCACAAGCATCTCTCTCCATAACTAATTGCAAGCTGGGTTGTTGTGAGTTTTCTGAGCTGTATGGCCATGTTTCAAAAGCATTCTCTTCTGATGTTTAGTCTGCATCCATGGCCTCACAACCACTGAGGATGCCTGCCATAGATGCAAGTGAAAGGTCAGGAGAGAATGCTTCTGGAACATGGTCATACAGCCCAGAAAACTCACAACAACCCAGTGACTTTAGCCAGGAATGCCTTTGAAAATACATATTTGCAAACTACATTCCCCAAGAGGTTGGGTTAGCTTCTCGGCAAAAGCCCTTTGACAACTGTGGGCTCTTCCACACAGCCATAAGACCCAGAATATCAAGGCAGAAAATCCCACAATATCTGCTCCGAACTGAGTTATCTGAGTCCACACTGCCATATATTCTATTTCAAAGCAGATAATACGGGATTTTATGCAGTTGTGTGGAAGGGGCCTAAAGGACTTTCTTACTCCTTGGTGGAAAGCTGCCCTGGTTCTTTCTGTGGAAATGTGCTTTGAGGTGCGGCTATCTAGTATCTACCTAGGGTTCATCCGCACTGAATAAATAATGGAGTTTGACACCAGTTTCATGGCTATGTCTCAGTGCTATGGAATCCTGTAGCTTGCTGAGGTAGGACTTTCTGGCAGAGAAGACTAAAGACCTTGTGAAGCTACAACTCCCACGAATCTATAGCATTGAGCCATGGCAGTGAAAGGCTGGAGCCCTCTTGTTTCTTTGCCACCGTTCTGGTTGGAGGCACCGTGGGGGGGGGGGGGGGCTAATGGCCACTAGCGGCCTCCTTCATTTCAATTTCCAGGTGTTTCCCGTGGGGCTACTGCATGGTCATCTGTTGCGTGGGTCCAGTCTGTGGTCAACACACTATCAATATACACACTGTTAAAGTCAATTTCGCTATCATCTAGGCCAGGCATGGGCAGACTTGGGCCTTCCAGGTGTTTTGGACTTCAACTCCCACCATTCCTAACAACCTCAGGCCTTTTCCCCCTCAGCCGCTTAAAGGAAGGGGCCTGAGGCTGTTAGGAATGGTGGGAGTTGAAGTCCAAAACACCGGGAAGGCTCAAGTTTGCCCATGCCTGGTCTATAGGCGACTTGAAGTCAAGGCAGCAATATAGTGCCTGTATTGTCATTTTGGATTGCACTCTTGGCAAAAGGCCCATCTGCATCACAAACGAGCCCACCGCCCCTCCATTAAAATGAGACATCTTGATCTTTATGGATTGTTCTAATCTTGATGCTAGGACAGCAACTGTGTAGATGCACTCGTCACCTCAGCCAGACTCGCGCGTCTTGACCGGGAAGGCCCGGGGAGTAGTTCAAATGAGACTTTCAGAGCGGCAAAATGTCTTGTTTTTAACAAAATAGGGGTTGGGTTGACCCGGGAGGTTTCACCCTCATACATTTAATAAGAGCCCTTTCCCTTTCCAAACATTAACGATCACCTTCAACCGGGGAAACAAGCAAAGCGGCGCTCTCGGGCCTGGCGAGAGAGAAGCCCCGGCAAAGGGAAATGAGCATCAACAACAGCAGCCTCCCTGCTTGGAGAAGTGAGGGATGGATGGGCAGACCTCGCAAGGCGAGATGGAAGTGGGCTTGAGCGGAGAAAGAGTGTGGCCTTCATGGAACCTGGCGCAGACTCTAAGGCAGAACGGAGGGGCCTCAGGAGACAAACGCAGGGATAAGCGATGCAGGGAGGCTTCCAGGTCACAAAAGCGCCTGAGAATTAACTTTGTGAGAAGGTTTTGCACATAATATACCACCATTTTGTGCCCTATATATTTAGGATGCTTTTTTCCCGTGTCAGGAGCAACTTCAGAAACTGCAGGTTGCTTCTGGTGTGAGAGATATGGCCGTCTACAAGGACCTTGCCCAGGGGACATTCGAACCACCGGCCTTTCCCTTTCTATTGCACATAATATATCGTAAATTTGTGTCCTATATAGGATGCTTTTTTGTCCTTGTCAGGAGCGAGTTGAGAAACTGCAGGTTGCTTCTGGTGTGAGAGATTTGGCCGTCTGGAAGGACGTTGCCCAGGGAACATTCGAACCACTGATCTTTTCCTTTCTGTTGCACATAATAAATCGTCAATTTGTGTCCTATATGTATATAGGATGCTTTTTTTGTGTCAAGAGCAACTTGAGGAACTGCAGGTTGCTTCTGGTGTGAAAGAATTGGCCGTCTGCAAGGAGGTTGCCCAGGGGAAGCCAGGATGTGTTACCATCCTGCAGAAGGCTTCTCTCATGTGTCCGCATGGGAAGCTGGAGCTGACAGAAGGGAGCTCACCCCGCTCCCCGGATTCGAACTACCAACCTTTCCCTTTCAGTCAACAGTTCTGAGGGCATAAGGGTTTAACCCAGGAATCCTCAAACTGCGGCCATCCAGTTGTTTGAGCATCCAACTCCCGGAAGCCTCAACCAGCTTGTTGAATTGTGAGAGATTCTGGGAGTTGAAGTCCCAAACAGATGGAGGGCCACCGTTTGAGGATACCTGCTTTAATCCATTGTGCCACAGGGGCTCCATAGGTGCTATGGCATTGTAAATAAACAACAACAAAAGAGTGAGTCCACAGGGAGACCTCTTGTGACTCTTGCCCCACCCTGTATGCATGTATGTTTGTGTGAATGTGCATATCTATATTAATTTGGCGCGCGCCCCCTCCCTCCCTCCTCACCCCCCAACCCAATCCGAAGGGCACGTGACGCGCGCGCGGGGCCACCCTATAAAAGCTCCTGCGGCTTTCGGAGGTGGCTCAGTGCGATCAGGAGGAGGCGAGGAGCGCGGGAAGGGAGGCGCTGTTCCTCCTCAACCCTCCCCCTTCCTTTCTCCTCCCTCTTTCCAAAGGGCCGTCCCCAACCCCGCTCAACTCCTAAGCACCTACTGGCGGTCTCCTCGGCTTGAAGGGCGGGCGTTGATGAGGGAGCGGCTCTTCTCTGCTTCAGGAGGAGGGGGAGGAAAGAAGAGAAGGGGGGGGGGAAGGAGGCGGAGGCGGCTCTTCCTGGGACTCCTCCTCCTCCTCCTCCCTCGAGCTGAGCGGAGGAGCGCAAGCCGGAGCGGAGCGCAGAGCCAGCAGCACCATGACCCTAGGCTGCAGCAACGGGAGCGGCCGGGCCTGCGGCTTGCTGGCGGGCGGCTCTCCCACGGTCGTCTCCGCGACCTCGGCGGAGGAGGAGGAAGAGGAGGAGGAGGAAGAGGAAGAAGACGTGGAGGACATCGACGTGGTGGGTCCCCCGCCCGCGGAGCATGGCCAGGCCAAGTTCAGCGAGGAGGAGGAGGAAGAGGAGGAGGAAGAGCTGCGCCTCCTCGGCCCGCCGCCGCCCGCCCAAGCAGGACCCGAGGCCAGCCCCGAGGCCCCCACGCCTGCCTTCTCGGGGGCCCCTCCGGCGCCCTCTTCGTCCTCGGGAGGAAGCAGCGTCCCCGCGGGGTCGTCGGCCCCGGGCAAGAACCCCTTGGTGAAGCCGCCCTACTCCTACATCGCGCTGATCACCATGGCCATCCTGCAGAGCCCCAAGAAGCGCCTGACGCTGAGCGAGATCTGCGAGTTCATCAGCGGGCGCTTCCCTTACTACCGGGAGAAGTTCCCGGCCTGGCAGAACTCCATCCGGCACAACCTCTCGCTCAACGACTGCTTCGTCAAGATCCCCCGCGAGCCGGGCAACCCGGGCAAAGGCAACTACTGGACCTTGGACCCGGAGTCGGCCGACATGTTCGACAACGGCTCCTTCCTCCGCCGCCGGAAGCGCTTCAAGCGGCAGCCGCAGCCTCCGCTCCACCCGCACCCGCCGCCGCCTCCTGAGTTGCTCCTCCGCGCCGACCCGGCCTCCTTCCTGCCGGGCTTCCCTTACGGACCCTACGGCTACAACTACGGGCTGCAGCTCCAGAGCTTCCACCACCACCATCACCACCACCACCACCCCGGGGGCAACAACGGCGGGGCAGCGGCGGTGACGGGGAGCTTCCCTTTCCAGGCTTCTCCTTGCGCCTTGCCTGCCCCTCCGGGCCTCTCCTCTTTCTTAGGGGCCGAGCTGAGTGGGCGGAAAGCCTTCTTCCCCGCCGGGCCGCTCAGCCCCACCGCCTCCCTCCTGCAGAGCCTCAAGGCGGACCCGCAAGGCGCCGGCAACAGGCCTTCCTCCTTTTCCATAGACAATCTCATCGGAGGAGGAGGAGGCGGCGGAGGAGGAGGAGGAGGKGGCGGCGGTGGAGGGGCGGCCCCGCCTCCCCCCAGCAGCTCAGCCCCCGGCGCCCCCGCCTCGCCCTTCGCTCCGGGCCACGCAGGAGGCCAAGCCCAGGTCCTGGCCCTGCTCTCCCCGGCCCTGGCCCCGCTGCCCGGCCCGCTGAGCCTCCCCCACGACGGCCCCCTCCTCCCCTCCGGACAGAACTTCGCCAACAAACTCACCAACCTCAACAGCTGCCCTTTTTAGAAACACGAGCTCCCCCTTCTCCCCAATCCACATCCAACTCCCCCCCCCCTCACCCCATCTGTCTTTAGCCCTCCCTCAGTCTCCACTCTCACAATTGCCTTCCTAATGTGTTTTTAAAAGGTAGGAACTCTTCCTTTCCTTGTTTTTTTCAAAAGAGAAACCAAGCTGTTGTCGAAAGTTTTCATGGCCAGAATCACTGGGTAGCTGTGAGTTTTCCGGGCTGTATGGCCATGTTCCAGAAGCATTCGCTCATATCTATGATAGCCATCCTCAGAGGTTGTGAGGTCTGTTGGAAACTAGGCAAGTGGGTTTATATAACTGTGGAATGTCCAGGGTGGGAGAAAGAACTCTTGTCCGCTTGAGGCAAGTGTAAATGTTGCAAATGGTCACCTTGATTAGCATTTAATGGCCTTGTAGCTTCAAAGCCTGGCTGATTGCTGCCTGAGGGATCTTTTGTTGACTTGGGATCTATAGGAACAGAACACAAACCTTTGGTACTCACTAGAATTTCTTTCTATCCAATGACAGAATGGCCTTGGAGCTTCAAAGCCTGGCTGCTGCCTTCCTGGGGGAATCCTTTGTTGGGAAGTGTTAGCTGGCCGTTATTATTTCCTGTCTGGAATTCCCCTGTTTTCTGAGTTTTGTTCTTTATGTACTGTCTTGATTTTTGTGTGGGTTTTTTTTTAATATTGATAGCCAGATTTTGTTCATTTTCATCGTTTCCTAAATGCTAATTTAGCCTTGATTATCTGCTAATCACCGTGGCCAATTGCAACATTCAAACTTGCCTCCAGCAGAAATTAGTTTTTTCTCCCACCTGGACATTATTGCACAGATATATAATCCTCACTTGTCTCACAACCTCTGAGGATGCCTGCCATAGATGTGGGTGAAACGTCAGGAGAGAATGCTTCTGGAACATGGCCAGACATCCCGGAAAACTCACAGTAACCCAGAAACCAAGCTGTTTGGACGTCTGTCCGCTGGGTCTACGCGGCCAAATATAATGCAATTTGAACTGCGTTTTGAGGTCACTGTGGAGTAGACCCACATAATCCAGTTCAAATTTAGTTCATACTGCATTATTTGGCGGTATAGATCCAGCCTGGGTTGATTTGGGCTCGTGTGTGCGTGCACGTGTCTGTGTCTGTGTTTTCCGGATCGTTGTTTCTTTTTGTTTAGGAAGGGGAGGGGCCCCGGGAAGAAAACTAAGCTCCCCAATCTATTGCCAATCACTCTTTCTCGCGGTGGTTTCAATATGTAAATCCCAAGGCATTAAGGATGGGTGGACACTGCCATAGAATGCAGCTTGATCTGCATTCTATGGTCAGTGTAGATCTATATAATGCAGTACGAATTGCATTGTGCCATCATTAATAATTGTAATGCATCAAGTGGCACATGACAAGGACTGGATCTACACTGTGACATAAGAAAACATCACACTAGAGAAAAAAAAATATCCACTAAAATCCGTTTTCTGCCTCCTGCAGAATTCTGGGGTTTGTAGTTTAGGGAGGAGCCTTTAACAGCCTCACTAAACTACAAACCCCAGAATTCTACAGGAGGCAGAAACTGGGTTTAAAGTTGATTGTTTTTCTCTAATGTAATGAAGTATATAATGCAGCTGCATTAAATGGTGAGTGTAGACCCCTATAGTGGACTTTGAACTGCCTTGTGGGGGTCTACTCTTACCATATAATGCAGTATTTGGCGGTGTGGCTCCAGCACGAGTCATTTTGTTGTGGGTACGGGGCATAGTTTTATTAAGGCTGTTGCAGTCCCAAGGCACTTAGGAAGGACACCCTGTGGCTCTCCCAGTCCTTTCTTGGGGTGCATCTGCACTGTAGAATTAATGCAGTTTGACACCACGCCTCAATGCTATGGAATATTGGGAGTTGTAGTTTTATGAACTCTTTCGCCTTCTTTACTAAATAGTGCTATTGCCTCACAAAGCTACAAATCCCAAGACTTTGGCATGGGTAAACTTGGCATGGGTAAACTTGGGCCCTCCATGTGTTTTGGACTCCAACTCCTACCATTCCTACCAGCCTCAGGCTTCAGCCACTGAGAGGGAAAAGGAAGGGGTCTGAGGCTGTTAGGAATGGTGGGAGTTGGAGTCTAAAACACCTGGAGGGTCCAAGTTTGTCCATGCTTGCTCATACATTGAACCATTACAGTTCAAGTGACGTCAAACTGCATTAAGTCTGCATGAAGTTTCATGGTCCAGATCTCAGAAGTCTCAGTTTCGTCTGCTTCCCAGTAAAAGGTCCCAAAATGGCAACCCTTTAGTTCACCCAAGCTTTTCTATGAGCTCAGGAGTGTCATCGCCCCAGTCGCCATATTCTCGAGAGGTCTCGGGATCACCCTCCTACAAAACGGCAGGGATTAAGACCTTATCAGCCCGGCCCTCCCACGTTGGAAGTTTCCGAAAGATCCCTTTAAAGCGGATCCGAGGAGGTATTATTCAAGGGATCCCCGTCCTTGTTGGCCAGCTGCATTTAGAGAGCTCAGAGTCACACCTCAGAGCCAAAATTAATGCAATTTGCCACCATTTCAACAACTACGGCTCAATACTAAGGGATCCTGGGAGCTGCAGTTTGCTGAGGCAGCAACATTCTTTGGTAAACAAAGCTATGGACCTTTTAAAACTCCCGTGATTCTATACTATTGATCCATGGCGGTTGAATTGGTGTCAAAGTGCATCCATTCTGCACATCAGGGCCCTTTCACACAGCTCTATATCCCAGAATATCAAGGCAGGGAATCTCATATTATCTGAGTGTGGAACTAGGGCCCTTCCACACAGCCCTCTAATCCAGAATATCAAGGTAGAAAATCCCACAATATCTGCTTTGAACTGGAATATATAGCAGTGCGGACTCAAATAATCCAGGGCCCTTCCACACAGTCCTATATCCCAGAATATCAAGGCAGAAAATCCCACAATAGCTGCTTTGAACTGGGTTATCTGAGTCTACACTCAGATAATGTGGGATTTTCTGCTTTGATATTCTGGGATATGGGGCTGTGTGGAAGGGCCCTCAGATAACTCAGGGCCCTTCCAAACAGCCCTAAATCCTAGAATATCAACATAAAAAAATCCCACAATAACCGCTTTGAACTGGTTTGTCTGAGTCCACACTCAGATAAAGTGGGATTTCCTGCCTTGATATTCTGGGATATAGGACTGTGTGGAAGAGCCCTGAATAACCCAGTTCAAAGCAGATATTGTGGGATTTCTTGCCTTGATATTCTGGCATATGGGGCTGTGTGGAAGGGCCCTCAAATAACCCAGTGTAAAGCAGATATTGTGGGATTATCTGCCTTGATATTCTGGGATATAGAATATCCTGTGTGGAAGGGCCTTCAGTTGTGCCTCGCATTACAGCCTTAAGCCCCGTGCTTTATTTATGTGGGTGGCGGATCAGAAATATTGCACTAGGGACGCTTCCCTCTTGTCTCCCTAGAGAGATCCTTCTCATCTGCGTTTCCCATTCCTCGGGGGGGGGGGGGGGCCTTGATTAGACTTTGGGACCTTCCACACAGGATATCAAGGCAGACAATCCCACAAATATCTGCTTCGAACTGGGTTATCTGAAGCCACACTGCCCTATAATCTAGTTCAAAGCAGCAACTGTGGGGTTTTATTCAGCTGTGTGGAAGGGGCCTTTCTCTTCCTATGAAGAGCCACCGCTTCCCAAATTCAAGATTATTGGTTTTTCAACCGGAGTGAGACTGCTTCTCCAAAGGCCAGTGGGGTCTCGTCCTCCCACTCCCCCTCCCGCCCCTTCTGCGTGCGTGTTTTCTTGTGTCTCTGGATCGATTTGTCTGTATATCTTGCCCACCGGAGCCTACTTGACTCTTTCCACTAATTGTGCACCCTTTCCTATTTTATTGAAAGAATTGTGAATACTTTTTTGATGTGGAAAAGGCAACGTAATTTCCTTTTGTCCGCCTTTGGTGTAAATTAATAAATGTTTATGAATTCTTTTAAAAGAGACCCAGTCGGTTTGGCGACTTGCTTTCTTAAAAAACGATACCGAAGTAATAACTAACCTTAAAGGTTGGGGGGAAACGGAGAAAAAATGGTTTTCCTCTACAAAAAAAAAAAAAAAAAAGAAGAAGAAGAAGGAAGGAAAAATCAATGCAAATGAAACTGTGTTTGGAAAAGAGAGCTGAAACCACCCTTAAAATATACTTTGAGAAGTTGAGTGTATCGGTCCAGTTCGGATCGACAATAAAATATATTTTTGAGTAATGTTTCAGGTTGGATCTACAGCGCCAAATAATGCCATTTGATGTCTTGTCGAAGGCTTTCATGGCTGGAATCACTAGGTTGTTGTAGGTTTTTCGGACTATATGGCCATGTTCTAGAAGCATTATCTCCTGACGTTTCGCCTGCACCTATGGCAAGCATCCTCACAACCTTTGAGGATGCTTGCCATAAATACAGGCGAAACATCAGGAGAGAATGCTTCTAGAACATGGCCATGTAGCCCGAAAAACCTACAACAACCCAATACAGTTTGAATTACATGATATGGCCAGTGTAGGCCTATATAATGGAGTTTGAACTGCATTGAATTGTATAATGCTACACTGTCCATATAACTGCCGTTGTGGCGCAATGGGTTTAACGTTTGTGCTGGCAGGACTCCTAACTGAAGGTCGAGGTTCGAATCTAAGGAGCGAGGTGAGCTCCCGTCTGTCAGCTCCAGCTTCTCATGCGAGGACATGAGAGAAGCCTCCCGTAGGATGGTAAAATATCCGGGAGTCCGCTTGGCAACGTCCTTGCAGACAGCCAATTCTCTCACACCAGAAGTGATTTGCAGTTTCTCAAGTCGCTCAAGACACAAAAAATTAGAATTGTTTGGCGATGTAGATGCAGCGTTAGGGCCCAGCCTACCTTTGCATAGCCAGGTCAAGACCAGGATGCTTTTCGTTCTCTACAAAATGCTGTATACAATGTTTTGGGTCCATCCATCAGCAGCATACAATGTAAACAATGTTCGAGGGGCAATCTATTGTGTACAATATCTTAGGGTGCATCGAAAAGCAGGAGACTTTTAATTCTTTAGAATACTGTATAAGACGAATAGGATTGTAGTTTTACATATAGTGAGAGGGGAAAGGAAGGGGCCTGAGGCCAGGAATTGTGGGAGTTGAAGTCCAAAACACCCGGAGGGCTGAAGTTTGCTCATGTCTGTTCTACACTGATGATATAATATAATGTAGTTCAAGCCTGTGTTACTGATCTCTCTGATGCAAAGGTAGGCTGGGCAAATACATTCGCATATAAGTCGAACCAAGTTTCCCTTATTTATCTATCATGACATCCATCATGTTTGATATACTTCATCACACTAGAGAATGAATCCACTTTAAATCCGTTTTCTGCCTCCTGCAGAATTCTGGGGTTTGTAGTTTAGTGAGTCTGTTCTGCAGGAGGCAGCAACCGGATTTAAAGTGGATTTATTTTCTAGTGTGATGAGTCTTCCCATCTTCTGTTTACAACCGGTAATGTCAAGCATAAAATCATTTGTTTATTTATAAATATAGTCATATTTTTCACCATCCTTTAAAAAATCCCAATGTTAACTTTGGCAACCCCAAAAGTTTTTGTTTTCGGAAAATACTTGGAAGTTGCCAGGCATTTCCTCAAGGAGGCAAACCATACTCCCACTCTTCTTTTGTTTGGGTTGGAAATGTTGACACATGGAAGAAGGAGAGAAGTATATGGCCGGGGGGGGGGGCTGTTAGGAGATGGGGGGAAATGTCAGGTTTCTCCTCCAGAGCCCAGAGGGTTGGGTTGACTGTCTGAAACCCGAGTCCTTCTGCCTAAATTTGTGAGCGCTTGGAGGGTGAAGGAAGGGGGGGAAAGGCCACACGAAGTAAACAGAGTCTCCTCTTCGTCGGGGCTTTGCCCTCGAAAGAAATGTCTTGGCGTTTGTAGCCAAATGTTGCTTTGCTTTCCTTGAACCAAACTCTCCCCTAATCTCCCAGCCCCGCGGCTGTCTTGTCAGCTTTTTCAAAAAAAGCAATCCTGAAAAGAGGAATCAAGGAAACGGATCGACCTCCAGCCCTGTTCTAAAATCATTCATTTACTTTTCGCACGTCTCTTAATGGACTCCCTCCCCCATAGAGCGCGGCCTATGGAAAAAGAAGGGAGGGGAGAGAAAGGGCTTCTCCTAGCCTTTTCCATCTGTCTTTCAACCCAGGCTCTCCCCCCACCCCCACAACTCCCTTTCTCCTCTCCCCTTCCCACACTTGAGTTTGGGGATGTGGTTCCCTGAATTCAAAGGCCGTGTGTGCCTCTGTCCCTCCGTCTCTCGCGTCTCCTCGGGTCCACATTTGCTTTTGAAAAGCCGGTTCGCTGTCGGGACCCTCGCTGCTCCCCTTTCAAGTCCAATCCCCACAAAAGAGGCTACAAGGCAAAACAGGGGGAAGCTGGGGAGTGGTGGGGAGGCAACGAGAGACAGAAGGGGCCCAAGGAATCTATTTTCCAGGTTGCTGAGCACATGCTTCCAAATGGAAAACGCTTTTGTGGCGCTCCTTCCATTCCGCCCGGCCCAGAAATCCCTTCTCGCTTTTCAGCCAAGACTCCCGTCCGAAGCCACAAAGGTGTTGGAGCCCTTTTGCAAGGCCGCCCTTGGGAAGGCCGGGATCCCCGAGGAGGCCGCGTGGGAGGAGGTCACGGGACTTTGCTTAGGAGGAAGGTGGATTCCTTCCTATGTTCAGTACAGTGACTAACAGAGAGCCCCCGCCTCCCCAATTAGGTCAGGAATGGAAACGAGCGGAAACGAGTAGGAAAGGTCACCCCTGACCCTTCCACACAGCCCTATATCCCAGAATATCAAGGTAGAAAAATCCCACAATATCTGCTTTGAACTGGGACGCTTCCACATAGCCCTATATCCCAGAATATCAAGGCAGAAAAGCCCACAATATCTGCTTATTGTGGGAT